TAAACGAATCTATGTTTTTATCGGTGAGAAGAAAAAACAAGAGTATGAAGATCTTACTTACTGCCTCTACTACTACTTCTACTATCACCACCACTACTACTACCATTCCCACCACCACCACTACTACAATCATTCCCACCACCACCACTACTACTCTCGTTACTAACACCACAACAACAACAATACAAACTATTAATATTACTACAACTACACCTACTAAAACTACCACTACTTCCACCACAGCAGCTACAACTATTACTACCACCAAAACTTGACCGCCCCTTCCACTCGACCCAGACAGACGAGGTCAGCTTGTCTTATCTTATCTGGTCGAAGGACAAAGTGTGCCTGATAAGAAAGACACAAAGACCAACAGCTACAACGCCTCAATGACGCCTTTGTTGGCCTCCCTCACCCCCTCTCTAATGCACCCCCTCCCTGGCATAAGTCCTGACTAGGGTGGCGATAAGATTTGAATGTTATCTTCTGCGCTCGTGCTTCTGTGTGTGTGTGTGTGTGTGTGTGTTTTCAATGCGACATACACCTTCCAGAACGGCACCTCAGATTAAAAACAAATTCTTCTGGGGGTGAACTAAGAGAACCGTCTAGCGAACACATGTTTTCTCACACACAGGTTAAGAGCATTTAGTAATGTACTCCCAAGATCTCCTGACGGGGACCATCTTCACCCCAGCGGCCTCCGTCAGCAGACAAAACAGCGGTCATTAGTAAGGTTCCCGTCGTCTTGTCTCTCTCTCTCTCTCTCCCTCCCCTTGACGCATAGGGATGGGGGAGCACCACCACCGCAGCGTATTGTTAGAATGGAGGACTCTGGTGGGTTCTAAATATCGCCAGCAGTAGTTCTTGTGGCTGTGTGTACCCTCCACATTGCCAGCTAGCGTTGTGGTGGGGAAGGGAGTGGGGTCCTACATAACCCCCAATTGTCATGACCACTATTTCAGAAAACCCCATCACTAGTTTTATGTGAGTGTGTGTGTGTGTGTGTGTGTGTAAAACCTTATCGCAAGCTGAACCTATATCAGCCTACACACCCTTCAGCCACACCCGTTTTCAGAGAACCTATTCCGGTCATATCAATTTTGAGATATCTTATTGCATATACCAATTTTTCTCAAGGGGAATTATTACAAACCCCATTTTTCCCCCCAAGAAGACTTATTACAAACCCCCATTTTTTCCCAAGAAGACTTATTACAAACCCCCATTTTTTTCCAAGAAGACTTATTACAAACCCCCATTTTTTCCCAAGAAGACTTATTACAAACCCCCATTTTTTCCCAAGAAGACTTATTACAAACCCCATTTTTTCCCAAGAAGACTTATTAAACCCCATTTTTTCCCAAGAGGACATATTCTTGGGTGGGTCTGAAGGGTCAACCTATTATGTGAAGGTTGACGGTCGGTCACCTTTAAACACTACCAAATAATGGAGGGGGAAGACCTTGTGTGGAGCAGACAACAGTGAATGATGCAGGCAGGCACGAGGGGGGGAGGAGGAGGAAGAAGGAAGAGGGTGAAGGAAGTGGTGGAAGAGGAGGAATGGGGGACGTGGTAATGTTGGAGGAGGAGTGAGGAGGAAATGAGGAAATAGTAGAAGGAAGAATGAGAGAGGGCGGTGTATAGTTCACAATAGTAGGGGAGCTTTCTCTTCCTTCCTTCCTTCCTTCCTTCCTTCCTCCTTATACCTCCTCCCTCCCTCCTACCCCCCGCGTTGCCCCAGTTAGAGACATAAAGACGACGGAACACACGACTAACGCACACACTCAACGACACATTCCGTACCTTTCTTATTATAATGGTTACCCCTGCTGGCCTGAAACAATCACTGGGGGATGTGAGGGAGGGATGTGTGGAGGGGGAGAGGAAAGGGTGAGAAGGAGGAAGGATAAGGGACAGGGAAGGAAATCGGGTGGGGAGGGAAGGGTTAGACGGGGAAGATAAGATGGGGAGAGGAGAGGAAAATTGGTGTATGGGGAAGGGGAGACAGATTAGGGAGGGAAAGGAAAGTTGGTGAAGGAATGGTTGGAAATGATGAGGGAGGAAAGGGGAAAGGGGGGGAAGGGTGAGGGAGGAGAGAGGGAGGAAGGAGACAGGTAGAAAGGGGAGGAGATCAGGGTGCTAAATTTCGCCACTCAAAAGAAGGGGGAAGGAAGGGGGGAGGGAGAGGAGAAATACTTGTGAAAGACAGGGTACGTCACGGTGACACGTTTGAGGGCGAGCTGAGGTAGACAGGTAGACGAGCTGAGGTAGACAGGTACACGAGCCGAGGTTGTTAGGCTCACTCGGGCCTCGTCAGAGCATCACTTCAAGTCGGCCGCTCCGGAAGCGCTATTTTTTTGCGCACTTTAAGGGGAGTTTGCGTCGGCCAAGGCGTATGGGTAGGGAAATGGAGAAAAGGGGGAGAGGGGAGGGAGAAGAGGGAAGGGGAGGGAGAAGGTAGAGGGGTAGCCTTAACATTGTTCTCCCAGACGGGTTTTTACCTACCATTTTTTTCACCCCCTCTATTCTATTCCATTCCCCTTTACCCTCCCCATTCCTTCTTTCCATCTCTTCGTCTTCTCACTTTCGTCAGAGGTTCTTACTCTTGTCCGCACTGTATCGAGTTCTTCTCATCTCTCTACTACCCCTACTTCCCACTCTCTCTTTTTAATCTCACCCCTCATCTATCCCTCCCTTCCTTCTTTCCTAAGAGGCAGAGGCGGCTGCAAGAGAATGCTAATCAACGGCCTAAGTTAGGTTTATTTGCATACGTCTTGTCAACAGTCACCTCGACAGTGAGGGATTGTGGCGCCTGACATCCTTATTGTTATCTGATGGTGGTGGTATGATTTTTGGGAAAGAGAATAACGCCCGTATATTGACTTATTATTATATATTCTGTATATGTATTCATTTTGTTCCTTTTTTAATCTTCGTCTTTATCCATTTTTTATTTTCTTGAATTACTGCTGTATCAAGTGTGTTTCTTCCCTGCGCTATTCTTATATCCATTCTTTCCTCTTCATTAAATGCGTATGCCTAAGAAACACAAGTCATGGCATCCTTCCTTTTGCCATTTAGCTTAAAGGTTATTTTGAATAACCTTGGAAAATTTTCTCGTCTCAACAAGTTGTCAGTCTCTCCGTCCATAAACTGAAGGTTCCGACACTACATACAAACGTGCGTCACCATACAGCGTTTACATTCCAATTAATCCTGTAAAAACTAACCATTTTATGCCAATTAGCCTCTCAAAACACGTTTAATTAATCAATAACCCCCCCCCCTCCCTTGCAAGGGTACATATCGCTGAACGAAATAAATAAGAGGTAACCGAGAATCACTAAATAATATTATAAAGAGTATTTTTAACGTATTATTTTCAGCAACTGTGGTGTATTATTCTCATCAATTGTGTTCTTAACAATCAAAGAAGTCGCGAGAGAGTTAGAGTGAAAATCAACCAAGGGCGAGGTAGGCGCAAATAATCAATACTCCTCCAAGGTTTGGCGAGGGTGAGCAGCCCGGGGTGGCATCAATGGGGCGCGTTCAAGGTGGCAGATGTGGGACAATGGACCAATAGGCGCGCTCCTCCTCAGACCAAAGGTCCAATCAGCGACCAGCGCGGGAAAGAGATGACGAGGAGGGATGTTGTGGGGGAAAAAAAATTGGCCGGATACTTCCCTCAGAATTTGGGTGAATTTTGTTCTTACTTCGTGTTATGTAGGCGCTTTTCGAGACTAAATGGCACAAAAGTAAAAAGTTTGGGAAATAAAATGGATGCAAAGTGTACATTCCAGCATTGAGGAGGGATGATGCGTTTGAGGGTAATCAATGAAAGCAAACCTACACTAGGCACGACACCTCAGCAACACAGCTCGCCATTGCTGGGATGTGCACCACTCCCTCTCAACGCACCCAAACACCACCTACTTTTTACAGGTCGATTTCTTTTCGTTAGCTGATTAAGAAGCATAATGACCTCACACATACACACACACACCTGGGTCTGTCGCACTCAGAACATCTTAATGAAGGTGAATGATTTATAGTCCAGTGACTTTGAGAAACTAAATTGCTTGGTCTTTACGTGTTGTAAATTCAATGAACCTTGACTGAACAAACCGACACATGGAAGAAGGATAGTTAGTGAATTCAAAACTGCTTGAAGAATGATATATGAAGTTAATACATAAGTTTTATCCGTCAAGCACACGCAAATATACATACATTTTCTCTCACCTCGGCAGCGGACGAGAAGAAAACCTGGCAAATGACTCACTTAAATGTTCCCGACTCGGTGAATTTTTCTTTACCCTAAAAAATGTTAAGATACAGACAGATGTTCCCAGACAACAGTGTGTGACATATCTCGTGTCTATGTCTGTCTGTCCTTTCAATCATTCGTTTTAACAAAAGAAAATTACGACTACATTTGATTTGCATTCTTGTTCGTTTGGTACGCATGAACTTATCAGCATATAAAATAAAAAACAGTAAGAATAGCTTTTATAAAATTAAATCGGACAAGATTATATAAATTTTACGCAGTGAATTTATATAAGGTGAGCCGCCACTGGGTGTTGGCAACAGTTAGTTCTCGCGGCGCTCAACAGATGGCGCGGCCTGTACTATTGGCGGGCTCTGGCGAATTCGGGTGGATATTCTGATAATTTCTGCGGTTAAGTCACTCCAGCAAAATAAAAAAGTTTTGCACACAAGAAATCTTATTAAAAATAATATAAAACAATATATACAATAAGTAAGGTATCCAACGATGTAAAATGTTGTTTATATAGCAATTATATTGTATACAAGCAGAGAATCCAATGTAATAAGACAAAGTATAAAAGTAGAAGATAAGTTCATAAACAATATGTATGAAAGTAATGAATTAGTAAAGACAATAGAAAGTTGTGTATACAAGAAGTCGTTTTAGTAGTTAAATATACAAGCTGCCTTTCTAACGGCAATTAAAAATCACTTTAGGTATAACTCACCGGTGTCTGAGGGTGTGAGGATGCCCGGTATGGCATGGGCGTCAGGCTCGGGCACTCTGCCGCAGTAGTTGTGTTCAATATTCACTGAAGGGGGCACGTAGGAGGCTGCACTCTTCCTGAAGGCGGTACTAGCACTGCTGCTGTATCGTGAGGCACTGTTGGTACTCCTCGGGGGGAAACAGCTGCTGTCATTACTGCTACTGCTGCTGCTGGATGTCTCGCTCAGCTGGTCGTCGGCGTCGCAGTCACTGTCGGTGCCAGAGGGGGTGTCAGGGAGGTTATCTTCGTCGTCGTCGTCGTCCTCAGAGATGTCATCCTGGCGGAGGGCGTCTCGGAGCACCAAATCTGCCGAGCACTCAGACACTTGGCGCTCCTTGGGGGGCGGATCCAGCAGGGCGGAGCAGCACGTCCCCCCGCCCCACATGATATCCCTCTTCAATGACTCTTCAGGTACTGGGGGCGCTACCGGCACCCACCAAGACGATCCCCACGCACTCTCACCCAGGGGCGTCTCCCCTAAGGGCGTGGCCTCCATACCCTCCAGATCTGACAGGATGTCGCTGATATCCGACGGTGGCGTGGCAGAGGGGGACTCGAGGATCTCAGGTATGGAGGCTACTAGATCATCCAAGTCGTGTTCTGCAGGGGGCGAGCGTGGGGGCGTGGGCAGAGCGATAGGATGTTGCATATTGCTGCTGGTGGTGGTAGTGTTGCTGTACATGAAGACGCCGATCTCTGACGGCGAAGAGGTGTTGTAAGTCATACTGTGATCCAAGATGGAGGCTTCAGGGTTGGCGAGGGCCAGGGCACGGTCGTGTTCGATGTCGAACTTGCTCCAAATGTCTTCGGGGAGGGCGTGGTGGTGCATCTGTGTAGGGGTCAACCAAGACTCCGGCATCATCCTCAGGTCAGTCGACGTCGCCATCTGTTGTGTGCCAAGGGCGCCCAACTGCTGCTGTAGGGGGAGACAAAAAGGTGAGGTTAGTACACCATTATGAGACCCACACACACCTGAACTCATGCACTCACGTGTGTACTTCATCGTATGCAAATGTACCACCAAAAATGCATACAACTACAGTATAACCAACATGCCACGTACAAAAGAACACAATTAATACTACAACAATCAACAATAAAAAAGTATTCCTAAAAGTACAATTGCAAAACAATCGCAGTACCCATACAAACCACGACACGAAGTACATTTATGAACACTTATACACCAACACATGTTCACCCCACCTCCTACCGACTGTATCTGCTCGTCTGCCTCCTGGTGATTATCATGAATGAGAGCCTCGCACATCAGTTGATTCATTCATTCCAGCTGACCAGGACTTGACCGAGGACTCGTAGTAGTAAAGGTCACACACACACCTTACGAGGGGGAAGCGAGAGGGTAACTCATAACATCGACACCATTCCCTTTTCCCAAACGTCACAGCATTCTCGTTCACACCGTAATCAAAGAAACAACAACCCCCTCCCCACCTCTTCCTCTCTCCGCAGAGATGAAGACGACAGCATCATCTTCCTTCCCACTTCCTCCCTCCTTCCACAGTGAGACGATCCACAGAAGAACAGTTAAAGTACCTCCACAGTGCCAGACTGACACACACGCCCAACTTGTGCCAACTCTAGTTCCACCCCACTCCCACCACCCACCCCCAGCACGCCTGACAAGTCACTGCCCCCTCCTCCCACCCCACGCGAGCCATCTGGAGGAACCTGTGACCCCTATCGTTACACCGTCTGCCAAGGTCGTCGAGGTCAAGGGTCGTATTATTTTCTTACGCACACAGACACGCATTATATCTACAGTACTATCGTGGACAAAAGTTCGCTCCCTGTGGTGAAACTGAGTCACGGGAATGAGTCTCCGAACTGACTTACCCGAACTGTCATCTGGTGAGGGTGTGCTGTTTTATCTCATTTGGGTCGATACTGCTTCAGTTTGGGAGGGAGCGAACTTTTGTCCACGATTGTACATATTTATAAAATGACGTTGTTGTAGTTCATTAATTAAGGATACTAGAGGAAATATATTGACTGTGATGAATCACCTGGTTCACATTACTGTATGTAGTTTATTAAGACAAGACAATGACGGTATCTTGAGTACAGGAACACAAAAAAATCATCCAGAAGTTGTAGTCTGTAAATTTACCATAAATAGTTCGGCAGTGATGAAGGGAATTACGGATTATATGCTCTTGGTCTCAGACAAATATCCAGCCCCATCATTCTCAAAATGAAAATATTTTCACTAAAAAATATAAAGAAATAAACTGCACTATAAAATTAAAACTTCTTTTAGTCCCGTTTTTAAAGTTTTAATAAAGGTAAGAAAAGTTTTTTTTAACCAGTTTAAACGCGAATAGGTAGAGTGGAGTCACCAAGAACGAGTGAGCTAGAGAGGAAAATAGCCACAGATGCTCAGCTTTCATTTGAGAGACTATACTTAATCCACCTCTCCCTCTTCTAATTCATTTCTCCCTCTCCGTCTGTCTCCCTCCCCTACCCATTTCCACACGTTAATGTCCTTTCTGTATTTATCTCCACCAAAAGAAACTGTTCCCTTACCCCTCCTCTCCTCAACAAGCTCTCACTCCCTCTGCTGGTTCTCACTCTCACTTTTCTCTCAGTTGACTCTCCCGCTCACCCGTCACTTCTCACCAGGCAGGGAGGGAGGGAGGGAGTTCCACTCGCTCTCCTAGATGAGGTAGTGAGGCTGAGGAGTGTGTACGTCTGTGTTTGAATGAGAGTGAATCACAATGCCCAAGGGGTACAGCTACGCTTCAACAACGGTACTTTTGAGTCAACTGTAGCCTAACCGAAAAAGCTTAAAAATAAATACAGTACTAACAAAATTATAAAAACAAAATACGATAACTGAGAAAATCGTGTAGAACTGAGATGAGCCTTAAAGATACATTTTGAAATTTGTCTAAACTTGTGGAAAGTTTTAAACAGCGTACAATTCAGACGAGTTAAGACCATTAAAATAAATTGGCAGAAACCGTGTAATTTGTAAGTTCAAAACGTGTCGAATTGGAAGATGGACAATTACTAAGGGAAACACAAAATTGGAAATTGTCCTCATGGAAAACAGACCAACCAAATAAAACTACATAACTCCTCTTGTAAACAAATATATGAAGACTTTGTTATCTTAAGTAAACTAAAAAATGAGATATTAAATGTTTTAAAATGTGATTAACTTTCCCAATGTGCTAAAAAAATTTCTTGAACTAGTGAGTTTAACAGGCCAAATGGTGTTGTACTTTCGTGAGATTTAATAAAATTTATTTATTTTTTAAATAAAAATCCTGTTAAACTGTAAGAAAACCGCTGCTAAACTTCCAAGGGTTCAATAAACTATCCGAAATATTATCATAGTGTTAAACTTACATAATTAAGCAATAAAGCATTCACAAATTTCAGTGTAAACAGTGATAAATGCTGCTGAACTTTCATGACAAACTGCTCCCCCAAAATACTGCTGAACGTAACGGTATTAACAGGTTTTCAATAGGCATAAATGTTATTGAACTTTCGTGAGTGTTCAATATAAATCATAAAAGTATCATGTGGATATATTCTAAACTACCATAAATGTTGCAGAAACTCCGTACATCACAGGAACTGTCAGAAGTATTGTCAATAATTTGTAAAACTATCAATAAAACGCTAAATAAATGACCATCAACTGTCATCAAACGACCAGTAATAATAAAAAAAATAACTAGGTGTACCGTTGACAGTTATAACATGTCATAACAGCCTTAAAAAATTGGTTGGTATTGACAGGTTCCACTGCTCACTAAACTACCACAAATGTTATGAGACTAAATGGGCAGTAGCGTACTTGTCACACATGAAACTCTTTGTAAACTAGAAATAAGTTGTCATCAATGCCATCCCAATATTGGATAAAGTACTTGGAAAATAAAGCCACTCAGTAAACTTAACCTTACGCACAAGTGTTGCTTAAACAATCACTTAACTCTCGCTCAACTGTCAAAATATAACGAATCAGACGGTGTAACTATTCGTAAAACTGTCAACACATTTAAACTGCAACTATCAAAACTAAACATAATAAATACCATTAAGTGTCACTGCAGAGTTGCACCGTCAGTAGTAATGTTAATAGTTTAGTACTTACGTAAGAGGTGCCAAATATGTATACACGCATACACACACACAGACGTACACACATTGCCAGGAGTTACAAGTTAAATAAATAATGTACACACTGCCAGTAACCGCTAGGAAAGTCTGGAAAGAATCTTATATATTGTGCCAACTGTCAATAAGTTACCATAGATGTTGTCAATGAAGTCTACATAGTTAAGAGTACAGCACAATACATACTCATCTTCGCAGCCGTCAACAAAAATCCCAAGCACTTCCCGTGACTGCTGAAAGCGCGCGAAACTCATGTTCATATACCGGCATATATGATACATGTCGTTATCGAATCTCCAAAGTTTATATTCACTAAAAAATTACTTTGTATGAAATAAAGTCTAATTCTAACCATAAATCAATTAAAAATAACTTGTTACAAAAAAACATTATATAGGAAAACTATTTAAGCTCCGAGGAAAATGTTTTATTCCAACGGTTCAGTAAAGAAAATGTAAATTTTATTAAACATTGCCTACATACTGTCAACCCACTAACTATTTCCTAAAGAGAAACTGATTTATAGAGCTGTCAGTTACGGTTGTAAGTCGTATAAATTCTACTGTCACATTTTGCCGCCAAGTCCGCAGCCCAGAAAAGGGCGGGGTTGGGCGAGCCACCACCCACCCTCACTAACAAACTAACCACTTGATCAAATTCTGAATAAAAATGGTTTTTATTTCCCAACTAGCAAAACGTATTGTTACTCCGTCTGTCTTAAGTTCCAAATAACGAAACCAATATCTTGAATTAGACTGATTCCTTGCGGGTGGCAGTAGTCTAGCGAGTAGTGTTGTCTGACCGTACACACACTGTCAGCATTCATCATTACACACCACCTTCACACACTGCACGTATTATACATTCAGTCTCTTTTTGACAAGTTTCAAATGTCCAAGTATATGTACGTACACATATTGTCCGTGATCCATCACTTAACACTGACATCGACAAGAAAAGCTATATTTTCGTAAAAATATATAATATTAATACAATCAGCTACCGTGTTGCTAGGTAGTGTACACACCTTCTTCACAAGCTTCCAATAAAAGTTCAGGCACCAATCAAAATGTCACTTGAAAAATCCAATAATAATCCACAGGATTTTGAGAGTTGGGTACGTGGTGCACGATCGCACAACGTGCGTGTTCCCACGTCAGAGTCCACACGTTAACTAAACACTCTCGCCACAGCAGTCACTACAGAAATAAGCTCCAGCGAACGTCTGAGCGGAGACTCCGCCCCCCACAACAACGTCATCATTTTAGACCCGCCTTCTCTCTACGTCATAGCCCCAACGCGACATCTGAAATCGGTTAAACTAAAGTTGAGTTGCCATTATAAGTAAATGCATGATTACTATTACTAGTCACGAAATACTTTTTTACTTGATAAATTTTTTTATATATAAGTACATAATAGGAAAATAAGTAATTATCAAAAAATATGCTGCGGATTCTCAAATTCGTGTCGCTTCCTGCCGCACTACTTTGCGACGCGTAGGAGAAAACGGTAGACCAAAGTTACTGGTCTACTACTACTACTACTACTGACGGCTGATCACTCATGAGTCAGCTTTTCATGGAAGGTGCACTAACATTTCTCTTTTATTGGACGATTCTGGAAAATATCAACAATCATCTTAGAGGTCAATGCATTCTCCACGAAAATAAGAAATTCACTGGCAATACCTACGACTTGAGGCAGATTTCTTCCGTGAAGTAATTTAGGGATGGGCTTCTCTCCCGTTAGGCTGTTAGGAGTGGCTCCGTTGAGAACAAAACACAATCCCATTTTTCAATCAATATTATAAAATTCACAACTTCTATTAAAATGCATTAATGTCAGCGAGCAATAATGTGTTACTAGCGAATTGTTGTAACGTAATACCAAATTCTAATTCAAACTTTACTAATTCTCAATGCGTAAAGACGCACACGCCCAAAACATGCAAGAAGATTATGTCTTGAAATTAAAATAGAATACTGTAGTAAGCAGACAATTGTAAATGTAGAAACAACAGAACACAATCGATTGGTAAGAATTGTTACAGCATCATGTAACTCTGTAGTGAACTGTATACGTCTGACTCACCCTGACTCACCCACCGCCTTACACGCACCTTGTGATAATAAGAATGAGAGTAATAAGATTTCATACTACTACTACGAATACTACTACAACAACTACTACTTTATTTTTTAAGTGGCCTCCATCCTCCCCCAATAGCCACACCTTCGCCGCCATTTTATTACTACTACTACTACCACCACTACAACTGCAAAAAAAAATACTAGTTCTACCACAACTACTATTATACTACAGTTACTACTACTACTACTACAACGACAACAATAACATTAACCACTACTACTATTAATACTACTATAAAAGCTACAAGTGATCGCGGGCACGTTCGTGCCCTTGTGAGAGTTTGAACGCTCGTGACAGCGTACAGCGAATAAGGGTGTGACAAGTCCGTAGAATTGCATGGTTAATTAGGGTGCGCCAAGTCCGCAGACTTGCATCGTTTTCCATCATAAATAAAATGGTTAATTAATGCCTTCCTAAAGAAACCATCGACATGGGACCAGGTTTGTTCCACTCTACGATTTTTTTGTGATTTTTCCACCAAGTTTGATGAAAAACGATTGTGCCGTTTCGGCTGCCCAGAACAGACACACACACACACGCCTAGTCCTATAGTATATTAGATTACTACCTTTTTTTTATAACGTGGCCTCCAGCTTCCCCCAATAGCCACACCTTTGCTGCCATTTCATTACCTTAAATTAAATATCCTAATACATAAGTAGCTATCTTAGCTGTGTTGAGTTAGTTGAGCCGCAGATCTATGCGGCATTCAGTGACTGTTGCCTCATAGCCAATATCTGCAACTTGTCGGCTTTGGGGCCGATCCTCTCGTTCCCCGGAGGCAGAGCAAAGTAGACCTAAGGAGAGAGGAGGACAGTCGACATCTCATCCGGGCTGTAACATAACGTCTGGGATGCTGCTTCTGTTCGGATAGCACCTCTGCGAGTCTGGCATAGAAGCATCTTGCACTTGGTCCCATCCCACCAGAGGTTGTGAACACCAGAAGAGTGAAGCTGCCTTGATCAACGTTCTGAATTCTCTCCCCATATGCCCTTATCTTGTCGTTCTCGTTCCTCCTGTGTGCAGCATCGAGAGCTAAGTTACGGTGACTTGCGGCCATGGGATAAAAATATCCTGATGTTGAAGAAGGCTCTCTGTCCCCGCGTCCAGAATCCTCGAGCACTGACGTCAACACGGGCTTCGTTGGATGTGTTTGAAGTCCTATGTTGGAAAATCTCACCTTCCAATGGAAGGAGAGTCTGTTCTACCCTGACATCACGACAGATTTCCTTCAACATATTTGCTGTGAGATCCCTTACTTCGTCATGCCTCATACATATGAAGCCCCCTTCCTTGCACACCATAGCGTGATCGACGTCATAGGAAGAGCCACACACGCATTGGGAGGGCAAACCTTCTACTGGCTTCCCGTACCTTAGAGCAATGGCAGCTACTACTACTACTACCACAACAACAACTATTGCTACTGGAACAACAACAACAATAATAACAACTACTACAACTTCTACTAATTTTTTCTTCTTTTTTTAATTGGCCTCCATCCTCCCCCAATAGCCATACCTTCGCCACCATTTTATTACCAAGTAGCTATCCTAGCTGTGTTGCGTTAGTTGAGCCGCAGATCTATGCGGCATTCAGTGACAGTAGCCTCATAGTCAATATCTGCAACAAAAACAACAACAACTATTACTTCTGCAACAAAACAATAACAACAACTATCACTACTACAAATGCAACAAAAACAACAACTACTACTACTACTATTACAACTACTGCAACAACAACAACAACTACTACTACTACTACAACTACTACTACTACAGCATAAAGTTAACAGACATGAAGATAGAGTGGCTAGAGAAGGACTTGGGGCTGGCTATTAGAACTAGCAATATCGAAATAGGAAAGAGGATACACAAGAATTTGGAATGACGGGAGTAGAAGTCATACGTACAGGGGTTCACAGTGGCCAGTTTCTGAAGCCTGGAGATAGTGCTGTTTGGCTTCTAATAATAATAATAATAATAATAATAATAATAATAATAATAATAATAATAACAACAACAATAACAAAAATAATACAACATCAACAACAATAATAACAACAACAACAACAACAACAACAATAATAATAAAATAATAAGAAGATAATAATAATCATAACAATAATAATAATGATGATAATACAACTACTACTACTAATAATAATAATAACAATGATGGTAATTATAATGTAGTAATCATAATATTGATAATAGCAACAAAATAATAATAATAATAACAACAATAATAATGATAAAAAGAACAACAACAATAATAAACAGTAATAATAAAACAATAATAATAATAATAAGTATTATTCTTATTCTTATTCTTATTATTATTATTATTATTATTATTATTATTATTATTATTATTTTCATTATTATTCTACCCAGCCCTCCAATATGGGTCAGACCTATAGAAGGAAGACCCATAAATCACCACTACACACTGGCGATAACTGAAGGGCAGCACCTTATATTTGGCCTCTACACATATATCATACTCGAGTGCTCGGTTTAAAAGTATAAAACCTATATTAGTTGTCTGTACAGTACTTAGCTTTGTTAGAATATTTTGAAATTGAATTTATGTATGTATGTATGTCACTATATTTCTGTCATTCTTTGTGTCTGTATGTCTATCTAAAAATACACATGCATACATACATACATGCATACATCGCCGGTAAGACGCTGCCGCCGCCCCTCCCGCACGAGATGTAGCCCTCCATACTGCCAACATCTGTGGACGACTCTGCCGGTCCTCTCGAGTCGCCTCAGAGCTCACCAACGAAGGTGACATCCCGAATAACTCATATCATTGTATCATAGCTGGACGAGCGTCATACCCGATTCCGAGTGACAGCAAGGTAGTACATACATACATACATATGATAGGTTGATAGAGACACGGATAGATAGATAGATAGATAGATAGATAGATAGATAGATAGATAGATAGATAAGGCCCTACGCCCTCCGTTTCCTTTCCCAAGCAATGGCCCATGCTAATACTCTCTCTCTCTCTCTCTCTCTCTCTCTCTTTCCATCTGTGTTCACTCTCTTTCCCATCCCTCTTCACTCCCTCCCCATCCCTTCTATCAGCTAGGACTCCCTCTGGTTGAGCTAGGAGGTGAGTAATACTGTTGGTGGTGTGAGTAGCCTGGAATACCGCAGTGGCTCTCGTGACACAGGACATGGGAATAGTGATTGAGCTGATGAGGGAGGGAGGGGGATAGGGGAGGGAGGGGGAGAGGGGGAGGGAGGGAAGGGGGGAAGAGGGGAGGAATGAAGGGTAGAAAGGGAAGTGAATGAGGGGGAGGAAGGGGAAGTGGGGAGGGAGGGAAGGAAAGGAAAGAGGGGAGAGGGAGAGAGGAAAAGAGGTTGGGAGAGGGAGGGAGAGGGTGGAGAGAGGGAGGTGAGTGAAAGATAGAGGGAGGATTAATGTAGGAGTGAGTGAGTGAGAGAATGGAGGAGGGAGGGATAGAGTGGGAGGGCAATTACTGTATGTAGTTAGATAAAGTTCTGTGAGTGAATCAGACTGATGATGATTCGAGAGAGAGAGAGAGAGAGAGAGAGAGAGAGAGAGAGAGAGCCACACAACAATTAAATCCCTCATATTGACCCTCCCTCCCTCCCTCTCATCCTTCCTCCTCCCTCTTCCTCCCTCCCTCCCTCCCTTCTCTCTTCCTCCCCCCTCTCCCCCCTCTCCTCCCTCTCCTCCCTCTCTAAATAGACAGGTGCAAAATTCTCCCATTTAAACCCAAACTGCATTTTCAATTTAATTTTCCCCCCATTTTGTGCCCAATCTACGTGTGGAATTTATTTATATATTTTTGTTTTATAATTTTTTTTCCGTGTACCTTTCTCATTTAAGCATAAAAGAATAATTGAATTTTGAGGGTTTTTTTTAATTTTGTTTTTTTGCCAAGAGTGAAATTTTTGTTTTGTGAATTTTATTTAGATTTTTTTTTTTACTAAATTTTTGTAATTCGTCGATTTTTTTTTATTTTTTGTTAATTTATTTGATTTCTTTTATGGTT